AGTATCCCTTACATGATTATAAGCTTTGTGCGCTATCTGCACCCATGAATGGAATGCAAATTGAAATAAATCTAAAGATAAAACCCTATAAATGTCTCTATTATGTTACGCGAGCTGAAGCAAATAAAAGCGATTTTCTGAGGGCGGGAAGCGTCCGCCACTTCATCTCCTCTCAACAAGCATCTCGTGTATATTCTATTCCTATTCCTATATGCGTATTTCAATAGTCCGATAATGCAACAACCCCCTTGGAGACCCGGCGGTAGCGTGGTGCAAGGGGTTGTTTTTCGCACCCTCCCGTATTTGCTTTGAAGGCAGCGTGGCGACTAATTGAAACTACCCACACGCATAAAAATTAATTCGTTGCACTTACCATACACATTTGGTTAATTTTAGCAACAAATAATAATTCTGTACTACCAATGAAATTGTGACATATGAAAAGTGTAATGTAAAATGATATTTTCAATTGTTTTAATGCCTATAATATAAAAATGAATCGCAAAATGTGTTGGTAAGCGCATTACTCAATAACGCCTTGACCAACTTGACCAATTCTTTTTTTTAAATGTTCGTTAAAATCCAAGGATTTTTACGGCGAGAAAATTTTGAATAATTGCCGGGAAAACCCTAAAGACAGCCCTTTTCTATAGGATAAAAGTTGGCATTGAAATTCAATCATAGTTATAGTTAAATAGTTGAATCCGATATGGCGCGCTGAAGTGCATTATAAACAATTCTTTATATAATTAATTTCTTTAAAATAAAATTGCGAATCTTATTGATAGAATTGACACATACTATGTCTTGAACAAGAGAGTAAAAACGAATTACATTTTTATTAAACACTACCGGGACAAAGTCACGGGCAAAAGCTAGTATTACAACAACTTTAAAGCTAAAGTTGTTTTTAAGACAACTGAAAGAAAACTTTAAGTCAATTTCAAACAAATTGTTGATTTATCTGGATAATAATTATTGTATAGTTGAATATAGGTAGGTATTTGTATTGCGGTACAAATTAATTACGTTTTATATCAAGAGAGAATTTAAGGAGATATTTTACGTCTAGAAAAAACTTAAGTATGAAGTTTTTAGTTTTATTGGAATAAATTATGAATCAAAATTAAAAATTATTTTGGTATTGCAGTAGTATTATAGTAATAAATTATTACAGTATATTTGAATATCATAGGCCAAATAAGTTTGTTTATAATTTTGGTATAAATTTATATTTTTTAAACTTTTAACTTTTTTAAAAATCGTCTTGTAGTTTTCGTCATTTTCAAAACTTTACTATCAAAATATTTTATTTTAAATAAGTTGTTAAAATAAACATTGTTAAAACAAATACACTTGGAGTTTAAAAATTTTGCGTATTTGGGTTTCAAATCATTTTATCTACAAAAATGCTTCCTTTCGAATTCAATTCCAAGAAATGTTACAAATACAATAATTAAATCAACATGATAAAAACATTTACTATGCAATGAATGTAATCCAACCCCTTAACAAAACGTGTTTCGCGCTGCAGCACTCGTCGGTAATTTAAATAGTGAATTCGTTTGGGGTTTTAATTTGTCGGCGCGCGGGCGCGCGCTTTGGCCGGTTTTTAATTTGTTGATTCGCGCGCGTTGTGCGCTGCCGACGATAATGGCCGTTAATGGGAATAAATATTTGGTTGATTTGGAATCGAAACCTCATTCAAAAATGTAACGCGTGGTGGTGCGCTAGCGGAAAACTTCAATTTGCAAGATTTTCATTTCGATTTACACTCGCCATGCTCGCCACTCGACGCGAGCTTTTTAATTATCCAGCGCGAGCGCAAACTTTTTTCATCAATAATTACACAATCCGACGCATTCTACAATAGACACGTAAGTTATATAGCGTTTATTTAGTTTCCACGCGGTGTAAATATTCATGAAGCGTTAATTTTCGCCGATTCATTCCGTCAAATGCTAATACTTGAAAGTGTCGAAAGTTTTTTCGAATTCAACGCGTCGAATTGCAAACAGTTTTCCACGCAGCAGCGCGCGGAAAATATTTCAATATTTATGTTTTCTTTTGAGTGCGAGAGAGTTTTCGTCTGGAGGCGGCGCGTCAACCGAATTAGACGGGTATTGAAGGCGGAAAAGTCGTCGTTGGCGTACATTGCAAGAATCGAGCAATTTTACGCTTTGCAATTTTTTTCTTCTCGCGCGTCGTCAATGACTCATTTCTTCGGAATGGCTAATTGTATGCAGGCAACAAAGACGCTTAAAATGTTCACAACTCACTTGTGCGCACTTCCAAATGGAGATTCACGCGCGAAACGTTTGTCTGCCACTGGTGGAACGTTTATAAAGTTTTTTGTCGCGCCTTTTAATTTTCCCTTTTCCTACTGCCACTCCTAATCGAGTTTTATCAACAGCTCATCACAGCGCATCGACAAAAGTTTTTTCATCCCTATTCAATGACGCTCTGAAGAGTTTTGTCAACGCTCATTTTATGCGCGCATTTATTTGTAATATTACGTGCTGGAAAAATAAATGTGCAATTTATATTTCGTAGAAGATGTAAATTTTAAATTTGGAGAGTGATTGAGGAGTGATGGTGCTGCTCAGCGCTTTGCAATCTTCGCGGCTAACTTTGTTACTTCACAGCTGGCCGAGTTCTAATCGCGTGCATGAAACAATTTGCGGCGGCGGCGGGCGAGACAATTTCGCACGTTGTTTCACGCCTTCGTTGACTTTAGATTAGTTACAATCACGTTTCAAATCTAAAAGTTATTAAATTATTGCAGTTTATGAAATTCATAACATAACCAAACATAACTTAACCTAAAAATATAATTATTATTCATTTTTTAACTTTAAAAATGAACAAAACAAAAAACTTCTTCAAATAAAAATTGAATTATTTATTTATATTAATCATTATTAATTCTCGTTATTTTTAATATTGTGAAAGACGCAGTTGTTACTTCAAATTTGTTTTTTCTTAGTGGAAAAATATTCAAAATTAAATGTCAAGCGGAAATAACAATAATCTAATAAAATGCACTCAGGCTAGCTGAGCGTTAAGAATTACAATCACAACACGAGCACGAAAAGCTGAAGATTTAAAGAGCGTGTTGAATGTGAGCGAAAAAAGCTCGCAGCTTGTATGGGAGTGAATATGTGTGTGTTTAAATGTGTGTGGCGGCGACGGCGGCAACGCAGCACCATTTAAATTAGTGAAAATTGACGGAAAATTGCTCGGCGCGGTTGTTCACAACCGTGTGTTCTAAGCGAGGGTGTGAAAATGAAAATTGAAGCTAAACACCAGTTGATATACATAACATTCAAATAAAAACAGAAAACAAAAAAAACAAATTGCATTCTTAGATATAAACAAATACAATATTTAGTAATTTTCAATGTTTACATTTTCTAAACTTTAATTAGCATGTTTTTCAGGTGTATTCTGTGTGAAAATTGTTATGGTCGGTGTAAATTGTCGACCAGCGGTCATTTATGCGTTGGTTAATTGAGCATGATATCGCACGGAGGGCGACAACACAACGAACAACAAACCAATCGATAATCCAGATATTGCCAATACTCGAAGCTGACATAATGTTGTTAACACACGTGTTACACGTGTTCATGATATTGCGCGGCATTATCCAACGAAACACGCTCCACTCAAAACCAATCACACATTTTGTTTTTATTTTTATTTTGCTAAAAAAAACACACGCATGTGTAGTTTGAATTGAATTGAAATTCATTTTGCCTGCAAGAAGCCTTTCCGCGTCTCTCGGCGGCCCGGAGAGAGAGAAAACTCTTTTCACCGGGCGACCTCGGATGCCCATTCGAAATCGCCAACCGGAAAATGTAAATACATTGGAGATTTATTATTTCGTAGGAAATTAAATCCGGAAACGCTTTTGCATATACTTTGTAATGCGTCTTTTCAGGCGCGACCCGAAGCTGTATAAAAGCACGACCCAAACGAAACGAAATTCACCCTTTAAACACTCATCAAAAGAAACAAGTTATTACTTATCACGCTCATTAATTCAATAGACTTCAATAACGCGTTTTGATACATTTTCAATCAATGCTGGAGCTTGAAACTCATAAAATGAAATTATTATTGAATTTTTGAAACACTCGCTATATATTAACCAGAGTGTATTGAGAATTTATCAAATTTATACTTACACAGACATAAAAAAGAACAATAAATATTTTGAGATGTGGATATCCTTACACTTCCCTTAAATCGTATTATATCCTGTTGAAAGGACGCACAATTGTCGAGGTCGTGTTAAGTGCTAATGAAAAGTAAGCATTTCTCCGTTCAATTTGCCACACTTTTCGATTTATTCCTATTTTGGAGAAATTCCATTAACCACGTGCTCCATCCGGTGATACATTTCGAGTGTTTGTTTTCCGCTTTCAATTTTCATTTGTATCTTTATTATTTACTCATTCTCTCCATCGTATGTTACAAAACAATATTATTATTAATAAACCATCGAGAATCTATAGATTACCAGCTTTTGCCCGCGACTTCGTCCCGGTAGTGTTTAATAAAAATGTAATTCGTTTTTGCTCTCGTGTTCTAGACACAGTATGTGTCAATTCTATCAATAAGATTCGCAATTTTATTTTAAAGAAATTAATTATATAAATTGTCTTTAGGGTTTTCCCGGCAAATATTCAAATTTTTCTCACCGTAAAAACCATCCTTGGACTTTCACGAACATTTTAAAAAAAGAATTGGCCAAATTGGTTTAGGCGTTGTTGAGTTATGCGCTTACCAACAAATTTTGCTCGCGACTTCGTCCATGTACATTTTAATAAAAAGTACTTAACTAATTATTCTCGTTTCTTGAACCAACTATGTGCCAACTCCGCTTATGCTATAGAAACTAAAAGAACAGTTAATAATTCAAGTCAAAAATTTACTTAAAAATAAACCTTGAGTGCAAGAATTTACAAAAAACACGAAATATAAAATAAACCATGTTTTAAAGATAAAAACACCGTTCATTTATTTAAAAACATTAACCTTATAACAATTAACCATCTAAGCAAGTGTAGCTTTCTGCTTACCTGACATCAAAGAATCTAAAATGTCGCTTTTACCTTGAAACTTTTGATAACTATAGAAAACACAAACATGAGTATAAATAATTTCGAGGGTGTGATAAATTGCACTTACATGCGTTCGTATTTAGCTCGTTCCTCCCTTGTTAGCGACGGCCGCGTACTGCGCAGCGCGTCCTCTAAATGCTCCTGCGTTATCAATTGTGTTTCAGTCTTCAGCTACAAACAGAAAAACATATTCAAATTAAATGCAGGCGCAACAAATTACGCAAGAACAATTGACACGTGGAGTGGAGTTATTGAGAGGATTCTCAGCCACCACAGACTTTCAACGCTTTGATTTTAATCAAATGCAATAATTAGCGATTGCAAATTAATTTTCATTTACGACGAAAACTTAGAATGTGATTCATATTGTGTATCGGTGGTGGTGTAAATTGAATTCTTGCAAAAACGAACGCCGGTCGCGTTTCTCGTTACAAAGTAATCAAGATAATACGCGGGTGGAGGTGAGCGCTGTGATATTGTTATCGAGCAAAAGCGCCTCGAGTAGTTAGCGCGCGCCTGCATGCTGCGTATTGCCGCAACGACTAGATGAGCAACCCACAGCGAACAGCCCGCCAGCAAAGGGGTGGCAGGAGGATGCGGTGGTGGTGTTTGCAAAGACGTTCAGCGACAAACTTAGGTTACGACCCGATATTGTGTGTCTTCGCGCGTATCGCCTTAACGTGCAAATGGAATCACCTCGTCATCAGGATGCGCCCCACCCACGCTAATCTCTTAATTACGTGAGAGAAACACCGAACACTAAACACATGCGCTTGTTTATCAGATGTCACCGGTCTAAATCGCGATCGCAATCTGCGGAAATGAATGGGATATAAACTACGTTTGTTTTAGAATTTAAGAAGTTGATATTAAGTTAACAAAAGTGGGGAATTACAAATAGACTTACATGATCTTTTGTTGATGAATCTTGAAGTAAATGTTCAACTGAATTCAATTGTGCTGTATATAAAACCGCTTGTAAATCAGCTCCAGAAAACCCTTCCGTTTTTTCCACAATTTTCTCCAGTTTAATATCATTTGACAAGTTTAGTTTTTTAGATAAAGACTTTAAAATTGCCAGTCTTGATTGCTGTAAATAATAAAATAATAAAATGTGATATATAAAAACAAACTTCACAGTATGTACTTTATCCGGCATTGGGCATAACATTTGTCTATCCAATCTACCGGGTCGTAACAAAGCAGGATCTAATAAATCCGGACGTGACGTTGCAGCTAAGACACAAACGCCGTTCAAAGATTCAACACCATCTAACTGTGTCAAAAATTGATTAACTACCCGATCGGTTACACCGGTGTTGTCATGTCCACGTCTAAAATAGTATTTATATTTACAAAATATAAAAAGAAGAAGTAACTATTACCTTGGTGCCAAACTATCAAATTCATCAAAGAACAAAATACAAGGTCTTGCACTTTGTGCTCTATAAACATCAAAAATCAAAAAATTATAAAAAGAAATGATTTGATTTATATTCTTACTTTTGAAAGACATCCCTGACAGCCTGCTCACTTGCCCCGATATACTTCGACAGTAATTCTGGTCCTTTAACTGAAATTAACCGCAAATTGCACTGCTTTGCTGCAGCGCCTGCTAGAATAGTTTTTCCTGTTCCAGGTGGACCATATAACAGCACACCGGATTGTAATCGAAGCGGTGAGTGTGAAAAGATATTAGCGTACTTAAAAAAATAATTTCTTAAATTAATATTAAGATAGTTTATAGTATTTTACGAGTTACCTGGGCTGGCCACAACATAGTTTCTACCAGAATCTTTTTAACATCATCCAAACCTCCAATATCAGCGAAATCTCTCTCACCAGGCGAATGTAACTGAACATCTCTTAAAGACAACGTGGATGCGTTACTCAACGCTGCTTCACAATGTCCATCTGTAACTTTTAACTCCTCAGCCTTCTTTAGATTATTTGTACTTTTATAAACCTCAAAAATAATTTTATCCACTAAATCAAGCAGGTCTTGAATAAGATATCCTTCGGTTTTGATAGCCAATTGATTGAAATTGATTCGTTCACAGTTCACCTCTTTCTTTTTAAATAAATACTTTAAGACATTGATTCTATCATCCTACAAATATAAAAATTTCATAATAATAATAATAATAATAGAATTCAATAAATTACACTGCTTAGGTCGTTAATACTGAAACAATGTTTAAACAAGTGCCGTCCTCTTGAGCTGTAAATGTTTTTATTTAATTTGGACATTGATTCACATGTCACCACAAGAGAAATGTTATTACGTTGCACTAAGTGTTCTAATTCTTCTGATAACATTTCACTAACTCTAAAAATAAAATATTTTAGTAAAATATTATTAAATACTTAATAAAACTAAATAAAAACTTACTTATTAAAGTGTAAATTTTCTTGTGTGGGTTGTTCACCTTCAATCACCTTCTCACAAATAACATGTAAGTCATCCAGTATTAAAATAGAAGGTTGATAGTAAATCAACCTCAAAAACATAGAATTTAATGTTTTCAACATAGACTCAATATTTTTCCCTTTTAATTTTCTGCAGGCTACATTTTCAACATAATAATGTGAAAGTGCCGCCTTCAATACTTCAGATATTTTGTTAGTTAAACTTGTTTTACCGCTTCCTGCCTTTCCTGTTAGAATAACACTTGAATTTTTTCTTCGACAATATTTAACGATATTGTCAACTAAGTGTTGATAATTAGACGCATTTAAACATAAATCCACCCTTGGGGACTCATGATTATTATTTTGAGACTTTCCATCGACCAATTCACCCTCAAACAGTTTAAATGTGCATTCCCTCATTAACTTTTGATTAACAACTAAGTATTTCTCATTTGCAGGAGTGAATTTCAACTGGAAGCGACATTTCTCCGCTGGTTCTTCCATAACAACCCCTGAGTTTAATAACATGTGTCCGCCATCTTGGATATATGTACACAAGTAGTTACGGACCAATTCATCAGCCTTGTTGAAAAAACTGTTTGTGGTAACAATTTCAATCATTTTGGGAATGAAAACTGTTGGTTGCAAGCTCGTTGCCAATACTTTCGCTCCAGGAATCGTACGAAAATGCTCAAACAGTAACTGATTGACATATAAAAAGTTGAAAACATCAACATCGGTCTCGTTGCCGGTGCTTGACGGCGATGTTTGTTGTTCTTGATTATTTTCACCCTCAATGCAAAATAATCGAACGATGACGCTGTCGATGGGTGGGTGGTGCTCGTCGAGCAGGTCTTTAACGTCGGCGGGCGGTGATATGATGCGCAGCGTGACGAGTACGACCTCGTCGCGGTGATAAGCGCCCGCGAGGCGTTCGAAATTGCGGCGAGATAAGAGCCCGCTAAAGGGTTGTGCGATGAATGCGTTTTTATCGGCGATCGACGACGACGCCGGCAGTTGCTCCGCGGGCTGCAATCGAAGCGCGCATTGTGTCTGATTGTAAGCGTTCATTATGCTGGCGTTTTGTGCGCCGGACACGCTCGGGCGTTTCGACGGCGGCGCGAATTTGCGCGTCGGCTCGCTCTGCGGCGGCGGCAGTATCGCCACTTCGGTGAGCATTTCTAATTTTCCGGGGGAAATTGGTTCGACGCCGTCTGGAATGCAAATTTATTTATTTTTTCCAATTTTACGCATAGAAGCAAAAAAAAAATTAAATTTTCAATTCCAACTGAAGACAAAAAATTAAATTTCCCCCTTTTTTAAATAAATAAAATATTGTTTTGCAACGATGTAACAATATATATCGAATTTAGAAAAATTTTCTAATAAAGTGAAATTTCTATAAAAAAAAATTCAGTACCAGGTACATATTTGCAAATATTCAGTGTCATAGAGAAATTGATTCTCATCATAGGCAAATTTTCAGTTATCACTTCGCATCACGTTCTTTTAGTACAGTTAGCGCCATCTATGTGTGTTAGCTGTACCTATGCCAAAGCATCTGCCGAATTTACGCCGCAGCAGCAAAATGGAAGTGGGAAAAGCAACAGAAAGAAGTTTTCGTTGTTTTCATTGAGTTTCTAACTGTGTAAATGCAGTGTACATATGCATGTGTGTTGTTCTTACCTACAACGACGGTTACATGTAGCGAGTTCGAAATCCAAATCACCAACTTCTGCTGGTTGTGGACAATCTTGACTTGATTCAGTAATGTGCTCTGGACAGTTTCGGCAAGTAACCCCTAAATATTGATTTATTACATTACCCTGCACGTTTTGCATGTTGCGCCGCATCAAATGTGTACATAATCACACATATAGTAAATATATCCAATTATTACAAGTACTTTATGCTTACCAGCATTGAATAGTCATCTTCAGATGAAGTGAGCAATTTCAGTCGGCGAATACTTGCAATATATGGAGTTGTAGACAAGCTTACAATGTCACTTTTGATGATGCCTAGTTCTTTGGCCAAATATGAACCCATTGCAAGCTCACCTTCTTTGAGTGATCCTAGAGATGTACCCAACGAGAAGAAGGCCCTCTTGTTGAGGCCATAAGATAGCCTAATCATATGCTTTAGAATTGAGTTTTGAATTACACTCTATTTTGAACACAGATTTATTTAGAACTTACTTCATGGTCAATTTGTCTACTATCATGTTCAGAGAGGAAGACAAAACTGTTTTTAGAACTGATTAGTTTCACTTTAAAGTCTTTATCGTACATTATCGCAAGGATTTCGTTTTATTACAGTGGTAGTTTATGTTAGTTTTTCGATTTTATTCACTTGGAAGTGCAAACTAAATCGACCGAATCTTAGGTTATGTTATTTATATTCATTCATTCTCAGCTGCCACTAAAACCGCTTGATTCACCGCGAATGAACGCGACCAACAAAAATAAAACACTTTGAAACGTTCAAAGGTTATTGAGACTCCCACTTGGGTTTCAATTATGTAATTTTCGATACAATAAACCTAAATGCAAATTTTGAACTTGAAAACAATTCGATTTGACATCATAACACATTCAAACATTTAAAAAGTTTGTAAAGTGTAAACATATCCTATCTTATTTAGAATGGATTGCAATTTTTGAATTTTGACTACTTAATAAAAACTCGTCGCTCCGGTTTAGACTAATTTTCAAGTATTATCCAGAAATAGAACTTTGAACGCGTGAGATTATGTTAGGGTCGCGTAAATTGCCTAAAACCTTTTGTTCTGATGACACATCTCCACCTTTGGTTCAGTTTTTGCACCGGTCTCGGCCAAAAACGCTCAAAAGCGCACAAATAACGGGTCAGCAACAATGCGAAGACGAAGTGTCAAAACCACATGTTCGTAACGGCGGCACAACCAAACTCTGCGCGCGCATATATATTTTAAAAGCCGGTTACGTCACTAGCCCCTACCCGTGCGTCCCGTTCTGCTAGACAGTGGCGCCTTACCCGAGTCGCGAGCGCATTCGTTTCAAACAACTGACAGAAATCAAAACCAAGCTTGCTGCCCGAGATCAACGAACTTTTTTCTGCTCGTCTCCGAGCACTACTTTATTTCGCTTATTCACGAGTTATTGAGGCTATAATTGGGGACAAATTAAGGTAGGAACAATCCTTATTTAATCTATTTTCATATAGTGATGGAATTATACTCCACATTATTCAATTTAAGTGAGATATTTGCATTTTTGTCACGGCCGAACGTGTGAACAATCATGGCGGGTAACGGTCATTTTTTACGGATGTAATCTACCTTGTATTTTATCTTTTCGCGGCCTTACATGCTCGGAAAACAGTGAAAACTTGTAGAAAAGATCAGGAGGAAGCGTGGTTAGTGGGAAATGTACGTGATTTTCGTGTGAGGTTAGTGTTTGGCGGTTAAACGGGCGTGGAAAAGGCGGTAAACGCGGGTCACTATTGCAATGTTGCAGTGCTGGCGGTGATTTTCGGCTTGAAACCCGAATCCCCTGGTCTACCTGACCTATTCTCGACTTATCTATTTTATCATTCTTCAAAATACTTGGAAGCAATCACTCGGTTTTATCGTTCTTAACGCGCTGAAGGTGACAAACTTTTCATTAATACATCGGATGCTGTGATCATCATTATTTTCGTGGTACTTTCTGAATAATCAGAAACATAAAAACAAATAAGACAAAGCTAAACTAGTGCAAAAACTGATGAGTATTAAATTTGTTAATCAATTGTGCAAATATTTAGTTATTAATTAGCATTGATTGAGCATTTGTATTTTAATAGTAGTTGAATTTATTTAGCCTCAGTTTTATACAGTTCTTGCTTATGACACGGCGTTCTTGATTACGCATTGTTGCAATTCGGATTATTTTTTTAATTTATACATCACAATACCACTGACAAAACAATCACAACACAACACCTCTAAAGTTGTCGGTTGACGTACACGTTTTGTGTGCCATTTATGTATACTTTTTAAACTATTACTACAATTTTGTATTTTGTGCTTGTACAGGCGTAAATAAATAAAGAAAATCAAGATTTATTAAATAAGTGACACAGAAACAAAATGGCCCCCACGAAGGCGATGCGCCCGATCATCCCGGTGCTACCCGCGACTCGGGTCACCACTCGCAGCAAAGCACAAAACAACAATGCATTGCTTAAGGGCAAGCGGAAGGCAGACGCCTCGCCCTCGAAACAATCCGCTGCTAAACGCTCCGCTTTCGGCGATGTTACCAACGCTGAAAAACTGAAGGCATTTGATAACAAATCGAAACAGATTCAAAAGCCTCTGTTGAAAAAGGTAATGGTACAGTCGAAAGTGTTACCATCGGTGAAAACGATTGGCAAACCAAAACAGAATGAAAATGTGGCTCCGCCGCCGGCACCAGCACATAAAGTGCAGACTAGGCAAACGACGAAGGTGGTACATCCACTAATACCGAATCAAACAGCGCAGAAACCAAAAGAAGTCCTCAAGGAAATCACTGTAAATAAGGTGAAAACACGTTTGAGTAATGAGTTCGAAAAGACTGATGACTCTTTGTATTCCTCTGCACTGGAAGATATGTAAGTAGAACTAAATCTGCCTTTGAAGTGTTATTTGATAAATTTTTAACAGCAGCGTGTCTTCACGGGGTAGCATGGGCCGGAAGGGTAGTAACGCATCGACGGAGAGCCGCGACAAGATGTCCATAACGATGGTGGCACACCAAATGGAAGCCAATCTGAATTTGGGAAATCACGAAGTGCCTCAGGGTGTGAACGATTTTGACAAGGAGAACTGGGATGATGTTTTCCAAATCTCACACTATGCCATGGACATATTCAATTATCTCAAAAGTAGAGAGGTGCAGTAATTGTATAAATTTAATAACTTTAAATCTATTATATATGTAATGTTATAGCCCACGTTTTTGCCTGATGACTACATGGAGAGACAACCGAACTTGACAAGATGGATGCGCTCGTTGCTTGTCGATTGGATGGTCGAGATTCAGGAGAGTTTTGAACTGAATCACGAAACGCTTTATTTGGGCGTCAAGTTGGTGGATTTATATTTGAGTAAGGTAACTGTAAACAAGGATGTTCTGCAGTTGGTGGGTGCGGCGGCAATGTTTATTGCTAGCAAGTATGACGAGCGCATTCCGCCCTTGGTTGATGACTTTTTGTACATTTGCGATGGGGCGTATACGCGCAAAGAACTTCTTCGGATGGAGATTAATTTACTGAAGGTTGTCCAGTTTGACTTGGGCATTCCTCTCAGTTACCGATTTTTGAGGCGTTATGCTAGGGTCAGTATTAAATCAATTTAAACGTTTAAAATATGAAAATATTATATGTATAATATATTTTAGGCCGCAAAATTGACCATGCCTATTTTGACATTGGCTCGTTTCATCCTCGAATACTCGTTGATGGACTACGCGACCATTAGCATTTCTGACTCCAAGATGGCCGCCGCCGCTTTATATTTGGCGCTGCAGATGAAAGGGGTCAGTGGATGGACGCCTACATTGGAGTTTTACACGGGTACGTAAAGTAAAATGATTCGTTGAGCCTATTTTTTAACGATTGTTTTCTCATCGAAATAGGTTATAAGTTGGAGGAAATAATGGAGACTGTCATCACTTTGAACCTCAATTTACACCGCAAGCCAAAAGAGGCGCTGATGACGGTAAGAAATAAATACTCACACAAAATCTTCTTCGAGGTAGCCAAAACACCGTTAGTGAATACCGAAGAATTTAAAGCATGAGGGCGTAATTTTTTAAGGCCATTATCTCAATCTGTATTTTAGCCACTTTTTATGTACTTCTGTTAAGAACTGTTCTAATTTTATTTGTCCATTGACACCCATCTACGTGCCAACGTCTAAAACGCGCTTGCGTACGCGCACATATGTCTTTAGTCTTTATTTTTACCTGTTTTTAAATGTAATTAATATTTAATTATTAAAAGAAAGACGTGATGCTACACTTGCTCACGTTTTCGGTGAGACAAGTGAGGGCTGAAAACAAGATGACAGACTTGTTGATGTAATGTAATGATGGTGTAATCCGCATTGACAATGTAATGATATTACACGATATTGATTGAATATATGCACGAATGGTGCGTTGCATGTCCAATAACCGAAATTGACTGAGTGACAAGAAAAGTGTTAACATTTAATCTCGATGTTTGATGTGACACTTTATATTGTTTACGCTTATGTGGAGTACGTGGATAGAACGAAAATAATGTTTGAATAAATAGTTTTTGTAATTTTTCATGCATTGATTGAATTAATCATCTTTGATACGTAAATAAAAATAATGTCCAAATATTTGCCCAAGTGTATTGTCTTATTACTGAATATGGCATCAAGAGCAAGAGACGCTGCAACCATGTACAATTTGGGAATTTGAAAAAAATATATATATATTGATTTTTTCTATATTTTAAAACTTTATTATTAATTACCTTGATATTTATTACGAAATTCAAAAAAATGTTTTTCAATTAATTATATACAATTAAAAATTGATATAATTAAAAAAAACCACGTGCCTATGAACGTGCCACGATTGGTCGCAGTACTTGAACGTCATAATGTTAAACCACGTTAATTTTATTCCTTCCAATTACTTAATGATAATTGGTCATTTTAAAACCTTCCAGTTGTGAGGGCAAAATTTTAGTAGCAATAAATATATGGCCATTCGTACAAAAATATTAACTAACTTCCAACTTTTTTTGGTTTTAATCAGTGGCGGATTACGGCCTAGGCGCACTAGCGCCTAGGGCCCCGGCTGCCTGAGGGGCTGCCTGAGGGGCCCCTGGCACTTATATGTCCCATATAGACATAGTAATTCCACAAATACTTCATCAGTTGGTTTTGACCTCAGCCTTTATGAATAGCGTATTGGTTTTCACTTGGCGTCCAAAACGGCATTTCACACGTGTCCGCAAAGCAACCGTCACGGATATATAGCTGACTTAAAACTTTTTATCTCCGATTTTATTTCTTTATGGCAAACTGTTTAAAATAAAATTTGGATGTTTTCTGCCACGAATTTTTGTGACCTTTTCTTGAATATTGCGTTAGAAAGTTGTAGCTATAATGCGAGTAGTATATTGCCAATTTTTTTAAATTTCGAACATCTGTGGAGGAGATGAGTTGAGGAATATTCCATTGAGGTTGTAAAATAGCGGGTAACTCTCTTTTTTGGAATATTAATTATTTCGTCTTTCTATCATTTTTTCACATCTGCGGAACACGTTGTACCAACGTTTATTCTCCTACAATTTTTATCTAGATTTTTGGGGTGGTAGTTGGATTAAAAAAAAAACAGAGAGTGGTCAGTGAGTCGTTAGAAGAAATTGTACTTAGAAAGTTACATGATTATGGCTTAGATATCACAAACTGTAGGGGCCAATCTTATGATAACACTGCTAACATGTCTGGCAAGTACAGTGGATTATTACAGGCACGCATAAAACAACATTCCAAATCAGCTGAATTCATACCATGTGGAAGTCATTCTTTAAATTTGGCTGGGCATACTACAGCGGAATCTTGTTCTGGAGCATTACAGTATTTTATGTTTTTGCAAAATATATAACTTTCTTCGCTGCATCTACAAGACGGTGGAATATTTTAACTGAATGCATGAAGGTTAAGAATTCTATAAGTATCAAGAGAATAATTGATACACGATTTGCCGCAAGAGCTGACGCTGTTTTAGCCCTAAGACTCAATTAGGTATCAATGAAAAAAAAAAGGAAAACCAATTTCAAAATTAGAAGCAAAAAAATTATCAAAAGAGTTCGATCAATTTGAGACGGCACTGTTAACAATTTTCTGGGACAAACTCCTACAGAGAATCGAAATTACCAGCAAATACTTACAGGAACCAAAGACAAATATTCTTAATAGTGTTAGTTTATTAAAATCATTAAACGAATTTATAACAGAGGTCAGAAATAATTTCGAAACTGTTGAAGAGGAGGCTAAATGAGACAAAGAAAACGCAAATATCCATATGATGAAACGAACAAAAATGATACAGCATTTTCGTAAAGAAATTTTTTTATTGTCAACATTTTTTATATTGTATGTGATGTATTAACATCAGAAATTACTCGAAGGGGCGATGTCTATATGAAAGTTCTTAACGATTTTAAAATGTTCTTTGATTTAAAATTAAGCCGTGTTGAGACTAATAATTGTGTAGAGCGATTATTGTCTTAAGTATGAAAAAGATATTGAGCCAGAATATTTCACTGATGAGTTAACTCATTTTCTAAAATACATACAAGAAGAAAATATTAAGGATCCACATGAAATGTATGCAACATTAAGTAATGGTCTAAAATCAACTTTTCCAAATATACACACAATACTGCAAATTTGACCTTGCCCGTTTCTAATGCAAGTGGAGAAAGGACATTTTCAGTTTTAAAACGAGTCAAAAACTATCTGCGCAATAGTCTTTCACAAGAGCACTTAAATGACTTCGCATTAATGTTCATAGAAAATGATATTTTTAAAAAACTAAAGTACGACAAAATTATTGAAATCTTTGCCCAAGAGAAGACAAGAAAAGAAAATTTGTAATTTGTATTTAAATACGATTACCGTTTTTGAGCACACGTACGATGAACTCGAGAACCAAGATAGCATTGAAAACGATAATCCCATCGCGGATAGTATGGCAGAAAATTTTACCTGTGATATTTCGATCGGTCCTGAAAACAATTAACGCACAACACCTGGTCCATCGCGAAGAGCGAATCGGAAGATAATCCATTAAATTTTGGAATAGTGCGTGTGGATTAAGCCTACTGGGGATACCACGATAAAAAAAAAACGCGCCACGTACTCTACCTCATGGTGGTGTGGAAATGAGTTTTTGGCACAAACGAATGTTGAAGTAGACTTTGCGGCGCGCGTACGCTAAAACTATTAATTTTACTGGGCTAATAACCGTTTTGAAAATTTTCGGATTTAGGGGCCCCAAACTTGATTTGCGCCTAGGGCCCCACTGAAGCATAATCCGCCACTGACTGCGTGTGCAGCAAAATGCATACAGCCAACTGCGACAACACGAGATCACTATCAGTATTGCGCGATAGGTCGCTGAACGCGACAAAAAAATGTTTCCATACCTCGCGCGTAAAGATCTTTACTATGGATGCATAGAAAGCAGCGCTTCTTTTGGTACTACTAGCGCACTAGGCAAAATTTCTACAGCGCCCAACTGGAAATCTTTAATCACAAGGCCCAAATATTTTCAAAATGACAAAAATAATTGAGATTAATTTAATACTTACAGATACTCAAAAGTATTAAAATCGAGTCAGGACGTGAGATACAGACCATTTTCCACCGCAACTTTTCAAAAATGACAAAAATTTCTGAAGTTTAAGAGTGACTTAAGGGTACTTCCCGACCATTGAGGGTGACTGAATGTAGTTCATCCCATTAAAGAACTCTTCCTCTATCACCTGAAGCAAACCGAATTAAAATCGTGTCAAGGAAACACGAGATACAGACCACTTTCCACTGCAACTTTTCAAAAAGAGACAAAAATTGCTGAAGTTTGAGAGTGATTTAAAGGCACTTCCCGACCATTGAAGGTGACTGAATGTAGTTCATAAGATTAAAGAAGTCTTCTTCTATCACCTAATGCGAACAGAATTAAAATCGTGTCAAGGCAACACGAGATACAGACCACTTTCCACTGCAACTTTTCAAAAATGTCAAAAATTGCTGAAGTTTGAAAGTGATTTATGGGTACTACCACAACCATTCAGGGTGGCTGAATGTAGTTCATGCCATTAAAATCAAGTCAAGGAAATGCGAGATACAAACCATTTCCCACCGCTACTTTTCAAAAATGACAAAAACCGAGCCAGGCAAACGCAAGATACAGACCATTTTCCACAAGAACTTTTAAAAAATAAGAAAAATTGCTGAAATCGAAGATCAATTTATGGGCACTTCCCGACATTTGATGGTATCAAAATATAGTCCATGTTCTATATACAATTATAAATTTATTTACTCTTGCCCGCTGCGAGACATGGCATAACCGCTCAATATTTTTATAAAAAATATTGTAACAATAAATTCGAATTAGTTGCTTAACCTGCGACAGCATCGTGCACATGGTGCGTCCACTTTATTCCAACATTTTGAATGAAAGCAACTGCCGCACTGCGCACACCTCGAAACAATTTTCATTTGCCATGGAAACAGAACCTCTGCAGATTTGCAAATTTCACATATAAATCCTCTTGCTAAACATAACTATAAACAAACAATTCGATTTATACACATGCTTTCAATAAAAATACAATAACGCACCTCGCACTCACTGGTATGGCGACAACAAACCTCTACAATATATTTCAACTTATTCTTCAATTCACCAGTTCTAATCATTATTAAATCCTCCAAAGAGTAAATATCCGGATCACTACTTAGGTAGGACTCTTCACTTCTTATCAAATCTTGAATACTAGAATGAACATTTAGATAACTATAGCGATTGAATATTTTTTTTAAATACGTTACTTTTCTGCAAGTCGACATGTCAAAATGTAATCCTTGAGGTACATCAATCCCAACCGGTACTTTTTGCAAACTTCCATATTTCTAGATAGTTTACCAATCTTTGGATTTAGCTGAAATACTCTAAATAGTGGATCCGTGTGCATTTGCTCTATCAGACGGTAAGAAAACGACGATACTGAACACCTAATCAAAAATAATATTTAATTTATCCCCGTTAATTATTATTTCACAAACCTAGTAAAGTTCCATTGGTGAATAACGCGAGCAGGGATAATCGCAACTTGATTCGTGTGACACCCTGTACAAAAATATCTACCGAGATAGTTGCAATAACGAAATTTCGCTGCATATTTCGTCGCAACTCGTGTGCCACATCCAGCACAGCGGTAGTTTTGTTTTTCCATGATTGTCTTACGACTAAAAATAATATTTAGATTCAGCTGTACTTATTTATACTACAATTTTATATTACCAAGGCATTGGATGCATTGTAAAAATAATTTGTGGTCTCGGCGGTGCCCATTCGGTAGTTCCACGCAAAGGAGTCGAAAATTCATTCTCACTTTCATCAGGATTTACAGGCCAACTTTTAGGGAGGGGGAGCAATGCCTGTGGTACTTCTTCTTCAGATATTAACCATTCTAAATCTGAGGCTCTAAAATAAATACATGGAGTGCTAATTCCTAAAAATGCATAAAAAACATTACCTTGGCAACTGTTTGTCACTAAATTTACTAATCAACGATAGCGCCACTCCTTCCGCTGATAAAGCGTCCGACGCACCGTCGGGTACGCCTCTGGGTCGTTTCATTATATCCGCATCTGAATAAAGTGATGCCATTGACATAGACAATCCTGTATTGTCCTGTAGATTCGAGGTTTCGTCCACCTGAAAGTAGTCATCATCATCTGATGATGATATACTTGCCGAAAATGTTCCAGAAGACGAAATCGATGCAGGACTAACTTCAGTAGTTGCTTTACAAATATTAATTAAATTGTTATTTATTTTATTTTGTTATTATGTGATTAACAGCGACTTACTGTCAGTTTTAGCATCACTTAATGAATTTGCCCATAATCTTCTCTGTTTTTCTTCAATTTTCTGCCTTCTTCTTAATCGTATCCTCTGTTTTAAGTGATTAATCTCTTCATCGCTTTCTTCTTGTTGTTCTTCTGATAATTTTAACTCCTTGCTCGATTTAATCTGCTCGAACGCGGCAATGACAGCTTCGCAAATACTAAAATGCGCGTTTTCTCGATCTAATTCAGCATTACCTCGTGACTGTTCACTTGATATCAAAAAGGACGTCAACGATTGCCCTTTAGTAGGTTTTGGAAAGTAACCGGTTGCCATTGGCATTACACTCAATCCACCATCTTCAATAAAAGTCTTTTTTGGCAGATTTCTTATGTCTTTTTCACCCGATATCCCAGCAATTGTGCCAAGCAGGCTAAATTCAGGACCTGATGATCCCAAACTATGTGGTTTACTACAACTGGCTGATGCTTGTAGATAATTATGTGACGTACTCTCCGGCGGTGTGTGTTCAATAATATTACAGTCTATTAAAATATGTTTGCTATTTACAGACTTGACAGGCTTCAGTTGTTTTTGTTTATTCATATTCAATGGCGTAGACGGACTCGTGTTGGTTGTATAAGATCTATTTCGTATTTTTGGACAATTATTAACTAGATTTGGCATGCTGTTCCACGATCTAAGCTTAGAAACTATTCGTGTTACATTTGATTTTTCTTTTTCTTTATTCTCTTCAAGAGCATCAAACATTGCTCGATTGGACAATTTTCGCTTTAAATGTGAGTCAGGGAAAGACGAACACCTGCGATGCACGCGGTGATAATTACTATTCTTTGCTACGAATAATTTGGGTTTTATTTCAGATATAAGGCTGGGTTGGTTCAGTTCTACTGCTTTGAGACAGTATAGAGTGGCTTCAGCATATTCTGTGCTGCAGAGAAAAGCGTGTTCTCTGTAACATTGTTGAACGTGGTTCTTATCAGAGAGCAACCAGCATAGTTTTTGCGATAGAGAGTGATTTTCTATATTTCGGTAGAGCCAGATTGATGCTCGGTCGTTTTTCACATGTGACGGGAGATTATTTTTGCATTCTGATTCAATGCTGAAAGAAGTATTCATTACATCTGGTTGGAGCCATTCTAAACCTTGGATAAATGGCCAATAATCCCAACTCTATTTAAAAAAAAATGTGTTTTACTTTAGTAACAAATCTATTATGCTACAACCACACAATCAGAATTAGATTCTATATAAAATTTAATAACTATAAATGATAAAATAATTTGGTCTATAACTTTTGTTTATCTTGACAAAATAATACTAAGTAATTAAAAAAAAAAAATGACTAGTCATGCATATTATTTATCTCCCTATTATATTAATTTAATTAATTTGAGATCATAAGTTATTTTTTATTTGATAATGTCTTCCAATGCTTGGCAAAATTTGAATTTTTCACTTTCAGACAAATATTTTCACATCAATTAAATTATAAACCTAATATAAATAGTTACCATCTGGTAAACTTACATTTACATCTGTTCCACGACACCCGTGTTTGAATATCTTCTCTAAATCAACATGTAGTCTATTGAGACCCCCATAAATGTTCCACAGGTAGGTTGCTTGGCTATTAAGCAACCCTTCAACAGTCGTCTTGAGATCGCGCAACAATTGCTGATGTTTCGCGCTGTTATCTTCCTGCAGCGACATACTTTGTGTTACTGCGCCACGGCTTCACTGTTATTAAAGTGAGTCATTTTTCAATTGTGTTGAATAATGTTCAGCAACAAACTGGCATAATATGTAAACGCCCAATTATGTCGTGGCTGGGATAACATGTCGGCGGTAATCTTTGTTTGTTATCGGCGCGTCTGGTGTTGATGCAATAAATTCATTGCGAAAAGCGATTTTAAGCACGCCTGTAGTCGACAATTTTTGTTTATATACACGCGACAATCTGAAACATTCAGAAATAATCATGTGTTTTTGACACTTTTGACATTTTGTCGGTTGTCAGCTGATTCGACCAATCCACAGCGTTGAATCGTTGGTGAATGATTTACCTGTGATTTTTAAAATTCCTGATATTTATTTTGTCTATTCATTATCTACATAGGTTTATGAATGACCGTTCGGTATTAATAGAACGCAATTCGAGAGTATTTGGTGTTTTGTTTAAGATAAGCAGTAATGATAGTGCAAAACAGCTGAAATTCGAGAACGATACAAGCGATACAGCGCTGTAAGTAGGTACAATGTGCTGAGTAATAACTCGTCAAGGACTCAAATTGTTGAAAAAATGCATAAATTAGTCATGATGTAATCGAATAACTTGTTATAGAAAGAGCGTGCGTCCCGACTCCGCGCGAGCACAGTTGCCGGCGCACTCGTCGCGTTCGTTTCGTTCAATTTTCTAATTCATATCTGTTCGTACGCTAATGAACAATTTTTTCATTCTAATTACAGTTTTTACTCGGTAATCAGCTAACGTTTAAATATCACGAAACATCGCCGTATCGAGTCAGTACGTGTTCGACAACCTTGTTCGCAGTTAGTTCGCGGCACGCTCTACAATCAATGACAATAAGTTTGACCATTCAAGTGTTGCTTAAACATTGAACACGTTCCTTGTGAAATAGATTATTCATCTCGTAGTGTAAATACAACGCGATATTGTGCAATAGTTGTATACTTGAAGGTTTGTAACGATTTTCGCTTTGCGACAGTGCATAACCTTCAAATTGACAAACGCGCCGAATGTTTGTATCGTACGCGTTATAAATTAATTATTGAACACGAATCATTCAGACATTTAAATAAAAATGGGTCTTTTGTCTGTGGGTCAACCTATGACTTGGGAGGAGACGAAGAAGTTGTCACAGCACGTTCGTGAGCATGGGATAATTCAGTTTATTAATTTATACAAGCGACTGAAAGACCGGCAAGGCGACGTTTTGAAATGGGGTGACGAAATCGAATACATTCTTGTAACATTCGACGATAAAGAGCGCACTGCAAAGGTGTGCTTGAGGGCGCATGAAATTCTCAGCACACTTCAAATCAAAGAGGAGGCTGATCCTGAGGGTGTGAAGTCCTTGTGGCGGCCAGAATATGGTGCCTACATGGTGGAAGGCACTCCAGGTCAACCATATGGAGGCATGTTGGCACATTTCAACATTGTTGAGGCCAACATGAGGTACAGAAGGGAGGAAGTGGAGGAGCTACTTAAAGATGGTGAAGCTATTCTTAGTATAACTAGTTTTCCAAGGTAAGAAACAAAAACAAACAAACATTTATTATGTCAATATTGTAGTATAATTCGTATTTAGTTCTCCACTTAAACATGCAAATATTTCGTGGATTGCATAAACAATTATTGCATTCCATATAACATGTTGATGAAATTGCATATCTACAAAACTAATTGCATAGCCGGATGTAAACTATGTCAATTTGTAAACAGTTTAAAAATAATTTCTTAATTTTAATTTTCTTAATTAATTTGCAGACTTGGTTGTGAAAACTTCTCACACCCGCCAGTGAAAGCAACTCCCCATTCGGGAGCAACGCGTTCGCTATTTTTCCCTGATGGCGCCATTTTCCCCGGCCATCCACGTTTTGCGACGCTGTCGCGCAATATTCGCGAGCGACGAGGTGAAAAGGTCGCCATTAACATACCAAGTAATTAATCTCCCGGCGTTCCGGCCTTGAGCGTATTTGTATTAATTGCGTTTCTTTACAGTTTACCGCGACGAGCGCACGCCGATCCCAATTGATGATTCGCACAAAAAGGACAAAGCCGCACGTCCGGATCATATTTATATGGACGCCATGGGTTTCGGGATGGGATGTTGTTGTCTGCAGCTCACATTCCAGGCGTGTAATATCAACGAAGCGAGAACACTGTACGATCAACTTACTCCGCTAGCACCGATCATGGTACATATTTACAAAACCAGTGAATTATTAATGCGTCTAAGTAATTTGATCTTTTTATCTACAGTTGGCTTTAACTGCGGCGTCTCCGCTTCATCGTGGGTTTGTCGCTGATATTGATTGTCGTTGGAACATTATTGCCAGCTCGGTCGATGATCGCACAGATGAGGAGCGTGGTTTACGTCCGTTACAATCAAATCGTTTTGTGATTAATAAATCACGTTTTGATTCGATTGATTCTTACCTTTCTCCAGAGGGTGATAAATTCAATGATGTTCCGCTGATTTATGATGAGAAAGTTTATAAGAAGTTACGGGATCATGATATTGATCATTTGCTAGCGCAGCATATTGCGCATTTGTTTATTCGTGATTCAATTTCATTGTTTAGTGAGAAGGTTCATCAAAATGACGAACAGGATACGGACCATTTTGAGGTTAGTAACACAAACATGGTTATGCATAAAAAATTGTATTAACAATATGTTTATTAATAGAATATTCAATCAACGAATTGGCAAACGCTGAGATTTAAACCACCACCTCCGAATTCAACGATTGGATGGCGTGTGGAGTTCCGGCCGTGTGAAATTCAGATTACGGACTTTGAGAACGCTGCGATTGTTTGTTTTGTGGTATTGGTGACGAGAGTTATTCTTTCGTTCAAGTTAAACTTCCTCATCCCTATTAGCAAGGTGGACGAGAATATGAAGAAAGCACAGAAGCGAAACGCCGTACTAGCCGAACACTTTTGGTTCCGAAGGGATGTTTCAATGCAAACTGCCGCTACACAAAGTAGTGAACCACAGGAAGCGGCGGCAGCAAGCGCTGCTTCCACCGACGTTTATACTCCAATGACTGTCAACGAAATTATTAACGGAAAGGTACATATTTGTAGACATTTCACAATTTCAAGTTTATTAGTAAATGCGTTTGTTTAGAATGGCGAATTCCCTGGTTTAATTCCATTGATCAACAATTATCTGAGTGGAATGGATGTAGACGCCGACACACATTGCACAATTCAACGATATTTGAAATTCATATCTCGTCGTGCGTCCGGCGAGATTTTAACCACTGCTACATGGATTCGACAGTTTGTCACCGGACATCCCAACTACGAGTAATTTTTGATCATTTTATAATATTTCTCAAGTTTTAATGTCACTTTTTCACCCTCTTCAGGCAAGATTCACGAGTAACGGACGAAATTAACTATGATCTCTTGAAAACCATCAAGGGTATTCAATCCGGCGAGATACCCTGCCCGGAACTACTGGGGTACAATCCGGTGTCGAAGACCACCGAGGATATTCCGCCAGTCATCGCAAAGGTGGCGGGCCACTAACGAATTAGTACTTGTTATTACGTTTATACTTCTAGTTAAAAAGATTATTTTTATACCTGTATAGAGAGTAGCTGTAGGCGAGGTCCAGTGGTAACATATTCGTACTTACAGATAGTTTCTTTCTGCTCGAGTGATGTTTATATACTTGTTGAATTTGTTGATAGTTTGTTACTTAGGTTTTGAGAAGTGTTGATACTGCGTGCTAGTTTTCCTAATCAGTATTTGAAGGTGTAACAAAACGTTTTATATTGTTATGGGCATTTACAGAAAATAAGTTTCACGTTGTGATCGTTTTATTGCAGAATTGCAACGTTGGTGCAGAATCAAAAATATTTAAAGTTAAAAGTTTTGTGTGCTATAATAAAATAAATATATGTATATCAATCAACACAGTCATTTGCCTGACAGAGTTTTAATCATGGTTTCAGTACTCTGCCTGCGAACAGTATGATGTTATGACGTTTCGGTTGTTTTGCGATCATTTTCATGTACTTTTTATTGATGTAAAAGATGAACGACTGGTTTACAATAACCGGCATCTTGAATGCCATTCTGCGCATCGCGTGGCCTGTAAAACAAGTAAAGAAAATGTTTGGTTGTTTATTGAATGAAAATATTTCCATAAGTACGTTATGACCTATGTGCGTAACCTGCATGTATTGAGTTAGTGATTAGATAATTTCTGATTACATAATATTTGCCGTTTTATCTACTTTACTACGCAAGCCACTCAAGCACCTGCGTACATGGCGCATGGGTTGGCAGGCAATAAATTAGTTTCTAAAGGCCATTAACATGTATTTACACATACTTACACAATACTTACTTTGTAATCCAAATGTGGAACGAGAAGAAAAACTAATGACAAACCTATATTACAGTTTTGCAGTAAACCAACATAATGATTGCTGATCGTCGTGAATTGATTTCAAATAATATCCCCCATGAAATAAGTTTTTATTTTTGTATGTAGATTAATTCTACAAGATTATCATCAGATAACAAGTTTAAATTCGATTCAATTTGCCACTGAAAATAGGCAATTCGTTGTTCCAGCTAATATAATAAGTGAAAGGGTGGTCAGCCCTAAATTTAAAACGCATCGGTGGTGGCCCAGGAATTGGTGGACGAAACATAATGCCTGGAATAAATTTCAAAGTTACAGGATTAGAATACGATCTACTAAGCAACTACAAAGCAAATTTTATTATTGACAACGTGTTAGTAACGAAACTAAAATTAGATTTAGAATTAGATGTTATTTAATATTTAAAACTTATGTAGGAATATTACTTCTATTTTGGTCGGGGTTATATTTTCGTGCTTGAAAGTTTCCCAAAGAATAACGGTGCGTGTCTGTTATGAACAAGCATAAAAATAAATGGACGATTGGCTTTCAATAGTCGATTCATCGGAATTGCATCAAACATGACTTGCAACCCTGAAATAAACGATTAAGAACATGAAAATTAACATTATCTGCAGTGTAGGTGTGAGATTATGAACAATTATATTTCGTTTGAGATTGCTTTTTGCGCTTATGGTATTACCAAACTACAAATGGCGACGCACGGTAAACAATAAGATGAAATCATTGAATAAATGACTCAAATATCTTTTGAAATTCATTTATTTATTGTAATAAAAACAGCATATAATCATCACCAAGTAGATGAAAACACGTTCGATATAAGAAAAAAATGGGGAAACTATTGTAAAATTTTGACGTTCGCATAAACACTAATTGTTTCCCATGACTAATCGGATACTTGGCATATGCGTTTATTATAGTCAGATCAAGAATACAGTCGGATTAAACGGATTTACTCTTGGTGTGTTTTTATTTTCAGTTTAATAATTAATAGATTTAAAGTTTATTTGAATACTTTATTGCATCCAGTATATGTTTGTTTATTAATGGCGCAAAATAGACATGATCGAATCGAATTGGCAATAAACGGCTCGGGCTTAATATACAT